TAAACGAAGATTTCATTCAAGCAAACTTGCCATGCCATGCGTTCAAGACCGGCGACGTCATCGAGTTTACAATTAGCTGCAACAGCGCTGCAGAGCCTACGGATGCAGTCCCTAGTTTCCGAAGGAGCAAGTACAGTACATCAAACTATGTCAAGAAAGTTCAACGACTGAGATGATCCGGGGTTGAAGTGCGGAGAGCGTTGTTCGTTTGAGACCAGAGCGGGGGGAAGCGCCTTGGCTAGCGCAAGCCACCATTTCTTCCGTCAATCAAACCTCATGTCCCACACACTCGACACAGCTTTCTTCGCTTCGCTTCCACGCGTAAAGTCGAACATGCACGCGTCTATAACGAAAATGCGATCAGAGCAAGCCTTCCGATCTGCACCGAATGTGCGCTCGAGGAGTTAGCACGCGTCGCATGCAGCCCAACAACCCGCGGCATCATTTCGGTTGGGAAGTATGACATAGATCATCACCCATTGAACCGGTACCTCAATATACGATGAGCGTCTCGGGTGAAGATTGTCCGCAGTACATCCAGAAGTCTGCATGCACCCCATCCAACGGCCCGTAGACCCTGGAGAGCATCTATAAGACTTACGGTACATTGTCTAGAACCGAGTATCTGGGCGAGACTCACTCACGCGGTGTACACTCCATACCATTATGCGGCAATTTTTCTCCGGTTCAGCCTCCCTGCTTGCTGGGTGTGCTCTGCTCCTTCCTAGCAGCGCGTACGACTTGGTTCGTAGACAGCAAGCAGCGAATGCGACTTACAAGGATGCTTCCGCACCAGTCGAGGACAGAGTGGCGGATCTTCTTTCCCGGATGACTATCGAGGAAAAGACAGCTCAGCTCATTCAGGGAGATATCTCGAATTGGATCAATACCACCACCAATGCTGTCAACGAGACAGGACTCGAATGGAACTTTCGCGTCCGCGCAGGTCAATTCTACGTCGGCTATCCGATACCTGCGGAATGGATCAGCAATGGCGTCAAGATTGGCCAGGACTACCTCGTGCACAATACGACATTGGGCATTCCAGCAATGGTTCAGACGGAAGCTATACATGGCTTGCTCGTCGGTAATGCGACCATCTACAACAGCCCAATCGGGCAAGCATGCTCGTGGGATCCGCAGCTGATACACGATATGGCTGTGGCGATTGCAAAGGAATCGGCTCCTCTCGGCATCAATCAACTGTTCGCTCCACTCGCGGATCTGGCGCGTGAGCTGCGTTTTGGAAGAGTAGAGGAGACATATGGCGAAGATGGTTTCCTGGCTGGCGAAATGGCATACGAATACGTCAAGGGAGTGCAAAGTCTTAATGTTAGCGCCACAGTCAAGCACTTTGCCGGATTCAGTAATCCAGAGCAAGGTCTCAACACTGGGCCAGTTCATGGAGGCGAAAGAGAGCTGCGAACTACCTGGCTGCCGCCTTTTCATCGAGCGATCATGGATGCTGGTGCCTGGAACATCATGGGTGCTTATCACTCTTATGATGGAATCCCTTCAATCGCGGATGGCCACATGCAAGAGACAATTCTCCGCGAGGAATGGGGTTACAAGTACTGGCTCACTTCGGATGCGGGCGCTACAGACAGGCTGTGCTGCAACTTCAAGCTGTGCCAATGCAAAACAGAAGACACGCCAATCGATAGCGAAGCGGTAACACTCATGGCTCTACCAAACGGCAACGACGTGGAGATGGGTGGAGGCTCATACAACTACGCAAACATCCCACGCTTAGTCGAAGAAGGCAAGCTAGACATCGAGATCGTCGACCGAGCCGTGAGCCGTCAGCTCCGAGCGAAATTCGAAATGGGTCTCTTCGAGAACCCATACAAAGGCCTCTCCACGAACGCGACTGAGTCCATCATTCACCCTGAAGAGCATGTGCAGCTCGCGAGGACACTTGAGGCTGACTCCATCGTCTTGCTCGAGAACAAGAACAGCACCTTGCCTCTCTCCAAGTCTGCAAATATTGCTGTCATTGGCCCTATGGCCAACATCACTAATCTCGGAGACTACGTGGTCTATCGCTCTCAGTACAACCCTACCAACGTTACCCCGTTGCAAGGCATTCAGAGTGCATCGAGTGGCACTGTGACCTACGCCCAAGGGTGCGAGCGCTGGTCAAACGATCAGTCTGGCTTCCCCGATGCCGTTGCTGCAGCCGAGGCTGCAGATGTCGCAGTAGTCGTCGTCGGTACCTGGTCACGCGATCAGCAAGAGCTCTGGCAAGGTCTAAACGCCACTACCGGTGAACATGTAGACGTCGCATCACTCAACCTCGTCGGCGCCATGGGCGAGCTCGTCCAAGCCATCATCGAAACCGGCAAACCCACCATCGTCGTATACTCCTCCGGCAAGCCCGTCACCGAGCCCTGGATCTCCGACAACTCAGCCGCGCTCCTCCAGCAATTTTACCCCGGTGAGCAAGGCGGCAATGGACTAGCCGACGTCCTCTTCGGCGACGTCACGCCCTCCGGCAAACTCTCAGTCTCCTTCCCTTACGACGTCGGTACCCTGCCAATCTACTACGACTACCTCAACTCCGGGCGGGCCACCGACGCCGGAGCCATCCTACCAAACGGCACTCTCCAATTCGGCCACCAATACGTCCTCAACAGCCCCCAGGCACTATACGAATTCGGATACGGCCTCTCCTACGCAAACTTCACTTACTCTAACGTCACACTCTCAAAGACCGAAGTCAGTCCCAGCGACACTATCACCGCGACCGTGACCGTGACGAACGAATCAGAGGTGGATGGCAAGGAGGTAGTGCAGGTCTATGTTCAAGATGTCTTTGCTAGTGTGGTGGTGCCGAACAAGGAGCTCAAGGGCTTCAAGAAGGTTATGGTCAAGGCGGGTGAGACGGTGGATGTTAGTGTTGAGTTGGATGTGGCGAAGTGGGGGCTGTGGGATAGGAAGATGCAGTATGTGGTTGAGAAGGGGGATTTTGTTGTGCATGTTGGGGCGAGTTCGATGGATTTGAGGGGGAATGCGACGGTTACTGTCGTTTGAGGTTGCTTGTGTTGAGTAGTTGGGGTCAGAGAAGACAGCTCGATTTGACACTGGCCGTCCACTCCATGGTAATGCGATAAAGTGGATCAGACAAACCACTTAGGACACTTCCAATCGTGTTCGCACAGAAGACAAATTTCGCCGATTTAGGAAGTCGCCATGTCCACGTGACTGGGCGCGTCGCTGTGCGACCGAAAGATACGCTAACGGGGTCTGTGCGGTAGCAAACGGGCGCTGCTCTATTTTGACTCTCTCACTTACCCTGCTCTAATGGATCGCTAATTTCAACATTCCCTTTTGGATGGTAAATTGATTCTTGTACCCTCCACTTCACCTCGCCAACGTTGCGCCATCACAAGGTCGGTACCCGTAAGATGGCGCCAGTGTCGTTGACTAAAGGCGCAATGATCCATAGCACACAAGTTTCAAGGGCAGTGGGTGAGGGCGCTGAAAAGTCCTCAGACGACGACGACGACTTCCACCTGGACTTGAACACTGATCTGATTGGCAAAAACACGGCCAAAAAGGATCTTAACATTGTGAACGATTATAGACCAGATTGGACATGTATGGAAGCCTACCGCGAGTCCTATCAAAACTGGTAAGTGTGGTCGCCGAAGTTTCCGAGATTTCAGCCTCTAACTACGAGTAGGAGAGACGGCATTCTGAAATCCTTCGACCTTGATCTGTCCCGATTCCTACCAACGTACATTGAGAAAGGACGAGAGCTCATCATTGAAGCGCGCCATCCAGATAACGAGAACCTTCTTGGCTACATTCACTTTAAGGGTGACAAGGATGGAAACTGCATGGGAGGCCTGAAGATAGTCAACTTCGAAGCCACCCTCAAATTTTCCGATTTGGCTACTGGATCAACTTCCAAGGCCGACGAATCTGGACAGACTGGACAACATGGAGATGGTATGAAGATATCTTCTCTTGTTTACCGACGTAATGGCTACGATGTGCGCCACGAAAGTGGCGGCTTCAGCTGGCACTACATTTACAAAGAGGGTAACTTCATCTGCTCCCTCACTCGCATCAACGCGGTCAAATTGAAGGAAATCAAGAAAAAGGACAAAGGTCAACCCCGGACCCGTAATCACCATGCCTGGGAGGATGTTTGTTTGATCGTTGGCGAACCAGGAAAAGTCAAAGATGTGAAAGGGACGGAGGCACCAGGTAAACGGCTGAATATCATCGACTTCAAGGAATGGATCACCGTCACCCTCGACATCAATCCTCCAAAAGACATCATCCGCACTATCCACGGCGATCTTATCCGCGACCCCGAATACCAAGCACGCATGTACCTTCGTGGTCTGTTATTGCCGCGCGGGGGAACCCAGCGACAACAATACGTTTACGGATACAACTTTGTCAAGGGGAACACTAGCGCCGATCGCGATGCGCTTTCTGGTGCAACAGAAGAGAGTGAGGGTATCATCGCCATCTGGTCAGCTGCAATACGAGCAGATAGGTCGAGTAATTCCGAACTGCTGACGGATTACACCAACCTGCTCCTGGGTTCGATTGGCAAGAAGGGCGATGTGATGATGTATCCCTACCGCCACGGACACGAGCCTATGCCCAGGGAGATTGCCAAGAAGGTGTGGGAGAAGATGTTGACGCTCAACATTAGCGAAGAGGGTCAGGTAGCCTTCTACTATCGGGCTGGCGAAGGGAAAGATGTAGGGAAATAAGCTTCATTGAAACGAACTCCACTAACTGTAGCCTTCCAGGAAGCTCACGCTATCAGCAAGAATTTGCGAAAAAACCCTACTCCGCTCGGCCCCGACTTGTGGAGAATTCTGAGGAAGTACAGTCTTTGCAGAACGCCAAGCGAGGAGTTACTTCATCTTTTCAGTTCCGCAGAAGTCGTGAGCCCTGGACCAGACAGTATCTTCGCAGCAAGCATGCACAAAATGCTGCAATGCTTGCTATCCTCTTCTCCAGCCACCCGAGATATGGAGCTTACTTTCGTAGCCGGTGAACACCTGAACATCGATGCTGGGTTCTTTGCAGGTATCTGGAAAGTCCACAGCAAGTGGCTCACTTGGGCCGGCGCACACGAGCAAGCATTCTGCGAGGAGGATGGATCGGGGATCTTTTCCTGCGATCATGCAGTCCTGCAGCTATGGGATATCATGATCTCCCAGCTCATCGCTACCGGCAAACATCCTCGTATAGCTACTGAAGAACGTTGGCTGAAGAGTATGGCTAGGATTCGCCTGTCGCAGATGCCTCGATCAGTCGCGTGCCGTTCGACACAGAAGAAAGGCGAGCTTGTGGTCACATGGGAGTCTACGGATTCACACATGCACAAAAATAAGACGGTTAGGGTAACCTATCATCGGGGCTCCCGCGAACAGGTAGAAATGCTGGGCAAGCAGTGTCTGAACCATGACGGTAAGTTCCACAGGAACAATGGACTTCACACTCAAGCTAACGATGGGCAGAACGGGTTTGCTCCTGCCCAAGCCATGTATCTCAGGCTGTCAGCGACGGTGTCACCTTCTCTGATCTAGATCCTGACCGTTTTTACTTCCCTTTCGTATCCCGAGACGTTGAGGGGGCTTTCGTTGGTCAATATCGCGGCTCGGTATCGCCTCTCAAGCATGACGTTATCGTCCCACGTACTCCCAAAGCGACCACAGCACCCACGACACGTAAGTAACATATTACCACTTTTAAATGTCCGAGAGAGTACTAATCCAACCAGGTTCGGTCGATTCTGGCTCACGCACTGCCACTGTAAAACCAATCGATCCGCGTAGCAACTACCAACCTCCTAGTGTCAGCGAAGACGATGAAATGGAAGAGAACGGGTCTCTGTACCAACCTCCAAGTAGGAGTTCATCTCCGTCACTTCCAACGGCTACACCGGCACCGCCAGCACCGCGAGCGCCTCCGAGCCCCAGGCCACCACCAGAGCGCAGCAACACGGCGAGGGTAGACTTGACAGACCGGTCAAAGAAAACATCCTATGGTCAGTATCCCCAGCCATTAAATTAAATACGTATCAAGCTAACCCATTACAAGTTCCTGGCACTAAACTTGAGCACAAGTCGCTAGATTGGGGTGGTAGCTTCCCCGGAAGCCACGACTTCTACCGGACTCGCGAACACCCAGACCAAGACATATATATCCTCAAACCGAAAGTCGGCACGAAGAAACCGCGTCACAAGAGGGTACTTTCGGGGGGTATGGATCGCGGTAGTGCGAAGAGATCGAGGACCAGTATGGCGGCCAGCCAAGCGGACGCGTCGTCATACATTGTCATTCCGAGCTCAGACTCTGAGGAAGATCCAGATTCTCGTGCTACTCGAGGCAGTCCCTTCGTACGTGGTAGCCAGGCGACTGCGACTCCATGGCCGGAAGGAGGCGTAACCTATCGTTACTGAGCGAGTGACGCAACGTCGACATTTGGGTATCTTGGGACGCAGCTACTGAAGGATCGTACGAGACTTCTTATTGGATATTTACCGGGAGCTCTTTGCACTAGGTCGGTTAACGTACCGTGTCCACGCGAAGAGGCCCCGAGACGCCATCCTGCAGGGCCATCGGGCCACGCTGTCAGCCCTAGTCTACCCGTACTGCATCGACGTTGCATTCGCGTATGTTTCTAGCGTACCTGAAAGCCTCTATTCAGCGTGCTATTCGAGGAATGAAGTGTTCCTGTCGTCAGTGTGGCTAGCTTGTATGCCCCTGACACGCTGGCGCCCCTTGTCACTGGCCGGGATGTACATAGTCCTCTTGAGCTATCTTAGTCTTGCATGCATGACAGGGTCTCAATATAGCGTGAATGGATATGTGCCTTGCAGGAATGTTTATGTTTCGTGCAGTTCGCATGGAAGCGATAGGTTCGATGGTGCCGCTTGCTACAGTGATGCGTGATGCTAGCACACTACGACACAAGCACTCCATATCCGTGAAACATGCAAAGCTACATACTAGAAGTCTCGCGAATAGTATGACAACAGTGATCGTGTTCCAAAGAAAGCCCAAGCTCGTGGTGGCTGCCGAGCTTGATACAGCACCGCGTGGTGACTAGATGTATATCCTGGATTGACCAGTGCATGCCACAACTGGGACCTCTCATCCTTTTTTCTACTAACATTACAAGATTTCAACAGCTCAAATGTGATGTCAGTCTGCGCTTCAGATTCACTCATCGCGCCGCATAGCTGAATCGGGTTAGCATGCTACGGCCGCCGCCGTCTCGCTTAGATGCGGCGACCTTTCCAACGGCCACGATAATCGGAACCGTCGGTGACGACTGCGCAACGCTTCAGACGTCGATATCAGCAGATAGGCAGGCGATTAATCACCTGCCATGTCCAATTGAAGCCATGGCAGCCGGCGCAGAGGGCATCGGGAAAAGCAACGGAGCTTGCCCGTCGCAAAATCTTGCTCGATGAGGAAACAACCTCCACGAATGCCCCGCGCCTAGTCTACAGCGACCACAACGACATGGCCGCTTTCGGCCCACTATACTCACTAGCCGCTTGTGGTGCGAGTGATAGTAGTAGTGCGTGATGATATAAATACGCAATGCGATGGTCTTGGATGGTCATCGCTGCATCAAACCTCTCCCACTTCTATGCTCTGCGACGATAAGCCCTGGTTACTGAACAACATGTCGTCCAGCAAGCCCTCATACCTCGTCGTTGGCGCCGGCGTCTTCGGCATTTCAACTGCTTACCACCTTATCAAGAAGTACCCAGATCGACAAGTTACTGTTGTCGACCAGGATGCTTGGGACGCCGATAACCGCGTAGCAGCTTCGTGGGACTGGAACAAGGTCGTGCGCGCCGACTACGACGATGTCATTTACTGCAGACTTGCGCTCGAGGCGCAAGATGTGTTCAAGGAGGACCCGTTATGGCAACCATACTTCCACGAGACTGGTATCTTCTGGGTTTGCCGTTCAGATTACGCACAAGAAGTCATCGACAACTACAAGAAGCTTGGACGCGAAGCAGACCTGCAGTCAGTCACCATTGAGGAGGCGAAGAAGTTGTTCGGCGGGCTTTTCGAGGATGCGAACTACGACGGCGCAAAGAGTGTACTCGTCAACAAGACAAGTGGTTGGGCACAGGCTGGTGACGCGCTAAGAGCAGTTACCAAGTGGTCGATCGCAAAGGGCGTCAAGTACATCACCGAGAAGGTCAAAGACCTAGACTTCGACAGCGCCGGCCGATGCACAGGCGTCAACACAGAGCAAGGCAGCACCATCAAAGCCACCCACACCATCCTCTCAACCGGCGCCTACACCGCCAAGCTCCTCGAGCAAGCCGCCCAGAAAAGCGGCAACCCCAACCTGCGTTCTGGCTCAAGAATTGTCGCTGGTGGTATCACGACCGGCATGACGACGCTAGACGAGAAGTCGTACGAGAAGTTCAAGGACATGCCCGTCGGTGTCCAGGGCTACACCGCCGCATACGGACCCTTCATCGGCAGCTTACCGCCTACCAAGGACCGCGAGCTCAAGTGGTGGGGCGAGAAGATCTTCAAGCATACACACGAAGTACTACCCGGTCGCTTCGTTTCTGCGCCGCCGTCTGGAAAGGATTATAACCAGTGGGACGTGCCTGGTCCGTTGAAGCTGGATATCGATCACGCGAATGATGTGTTTTACGGCAAGAAGGGCGCGAATTGGAAGATGGAGAAGCATCGGATTTGCTGGTAAGTTCTACACTCATATCTCTCCTGTTCGATCAGTACTAACATCACCCAGGGACGCATTCACGACTTCATCCGACTTCATCATCTCGCCGCACGCCGGTGCCAAGGGCCTCTACGTCGCCACATGCGGCTCCTTCCACGGCTACAAGTTCTTCCCCGTTCTCGGCAAATACGTCGTGCAGATGCTGGAAGACGAGCTGGAACCAGCGCTCAAGGAGAAGTGGGCATGGGATCGCGAAAGGCCGGCGCCTAGCCTCAACCCCGACTGGCCTAGGTTCGAGATGACGGATTTGATGGACCAGTGGCCAAAGGCCAAGTTGTAAGATGCAGCAAGAGGATTTTGATGAAGTTAATGAGTGGATGTTGCATAGTTACATGGCGCCTGGGTTGGCGTTTACATTTCTTTTACATAGCGGATGTTGTCAATAACAATCCTACTTTTCCACCTTGCAATCCCATCGCCGTATTCCAGCCGTCTCCTCAAGTTCCACCTCGATCTCATCGACCCACCCATTCATTTCTTCCAGATATGCCGTGATCTTGCTCAGACAGCGTTTGAAGTGTCGCTTTTGCTCCTCATTCAGCGTTCTGAACTTATCTTTACCCCACGTACCCAAGTAAACATACTTCATATCTTTTAGCGGACTCATCACGTTTCCGGTAAGACAGTCCATTCTCTCGGCTTCGGTGGTGAGGGAAAAGAACGGATCGATGAAGCAGCCATGAAAGTAGAGCTTTTCCAGAGGACCGGGAACGCACATCTTGGGTGTTTAGAGCAGATTACGGTAAGGGAATGATGTCTGAGTTGGGGAAGACAAAAGGGCGCGAATGGATTTTAACTTGAACAAACACCCGTGCAGTAACCGTATGGCGCTTTCTCACATTGTTAGAGCGCAAACATTCGGTCATGAAAGGGTATATACGCTTGCGTGCTAGAAGGTGCGAGCAAGCACACGCCGTATATACCGCGAGCGAACGTACCAGATCTGCCCGCCACCGCCTACCCCACGATGTCCTCTCGCATAGTTGGAAATGACCCCAAAACCTTCACAGATAACTTCGCAATCGAGGAGCTCTACAAAGCAGTCCTCAGGTTCCAGCGCGTATGCCTCGGTAGAGATGTTAATGGCAGCATGATCGAGACATCCGGCCGAGCGAAACACCCCACTCTAAGCGCGGGTAACAAGAGCCTTTTCAAAATAACTGCGGCGCATATGCAGAATGTTCTCAATTGGAGTAGAGAGATCGGTTTGGACATGAACGTTGAAGAGGCTGGTGATATTGGGAAACAAGGACTACCTGATCTGCCCGGTTGGGTGTTGGGAGAAGAAATTAAGAAAAGCAAGCACGGTGACGATTGGTTGCAGTGGAGCAAGTAGCCCCTCATCGTGTAGCATATACATGTTCATTTGATTCATATTTACATCGAAGTGTCACACCTACAGTAGGTGCCGGCCAATTTTCCTTTCCTCCTCTTCGCATGCAAGACACGTCTAAGCAGTGAGCTTGCTCTTGATGAAGGTAAGGGCCTGGTTTCCGTAAATGCTGACGTACTGCTGGTGGTGGTTGGCGTCGTTTCCGTTGCAGCAGTATGGGTCCTGAGAGTCGCAGTAGCTCTGGATGATGCTGGTGCTGGCGGGCGAGCAGGAGAACCCTGAGGGGCGGGCGGCGAACTGAGGTAGGTGTTAGTAAGAGTAACTGTGTATGAGAGAAGGGTAAACTTACGCCTTGGGCCTTGCAGGTACCGACGTTGTAGGGGAGACCGTTACGGTTGTGGGGGTCACCCATGAAGATTGCGGCCTTGACGGCTGCCAGGGCGGTGCCGGTCAATGTGGAACCTGCGCCGCCGCAGACGGCGTTGTCCATGATCTGACCTCCCTGCGGGCCGTTAGTACTTGGCTTTCTTGGATTTCATGGCATCATCCATACCTGAGAGTATCCGATGAGGACGATCTGGGTGTCAGGGCACTTTTGGTTGTAGGCAGTAACAGCCTTGACAACAGCCGCAGTTCCCTGGGAAGCAGAGTTGTCGTAGGAAATGCCTCCGCAGGCAGATCCTCCACCGCACGCTGGGTATACGATGGCTTCGGATCCTGCACCGGGGTAGGCGCTCTTGACGGAGTTTACGAGCCCAGCGGCGGTACCGTAGCCATTGCTTTGAGGCAGGGTAGTCTCACGAGCTCCGAAGATGTAGACCTTAGGGCAGCTCTGGCGCTCGGCGAGCTCAACTGGGCCGGCGGCCGCGAGACCTGCAAAGAGAGCTGTCGCTGCAGCGAACTTCATGTTGACGTTTGGATAAGTGGGTACTTTGCTTCGGATGGAGATGAGATGTCAAGGGAGCGTGATGATCAAGTCTGGGCAACGGGTGAGGTGTTTATAAAGACAGTTTCACTTGGCCATAGTTGCTGTCCTTTAGGCAGAATCGATTGCCTCGACTGTACACCATAGCGTATCGGTGGGGTACAGAATACTGGTTTGCGTTCTCCTGGCGCACAGATGGTCCTTTCATCCGTCCTCGCAATTTATCTGAGCAGTCACGCCGTCCCTGTGACGAAGATCCGACAGGGATTATTGCCGTAGCCCGCATCTCTTTCATGCAGAACCAAGCCGAGCTCGTCTGGGGTACATATGAATCCCAGTGTCTTTCGGGGGAAAAGCGAGCAAGCGAGCGAGTAGAACGGTGTAACGTATAGCACCTTCGGCACATCGCGCGGTGGATAGATGGATAGCGTTACGGCCGCGTGGTCAGATGGTGTACCGGCGTGGAGCCGAACCGTTCTGGCTAAAAGGCAGCTCTCGAAAAAGCTTGGGTTGGCACCTTGGGAATCCGGGGTAAAATGCTTGTTTCTCGGAGCCTCAGCGCTAACATGGCGTACCTGAGGATGGAAGAAGCATAGCTTCCGGATGTGCGTAAGAGTGCCAATGTGGTGTATAGGGTCAAGAACGTCGATAGTAGCGAGGTGGCACTCACCGCCCCTCCCCAATTCTGCCGGTGCTCTAAGATTACTGAACAGTATTGGGGCCAGACGATACTGTTCTAGTGTGACTTGATGGCGAGTTCAATAGCGGTCTGGTTGGACGTAGCGACTCGTGGCTCTCCTTATAATGAAACAAATATAGAGCGGGTCTGTCCGACTGCCGTGTTTGCGTCACTGGCAGACCTATCACTAATCAGTGCATGTGTAGCTCGAAGAGACTCACTCTGCATGCGCATAGACTACTTCTGGAGGGCGAGCACGTACGACATGGCTGTACATGAATTTGCGTGAAGATGAAGGTTTGTGAGAGACCTCCAGGGCTAGGTACCAAAGTGCCTGCCCAGGTGTGACGTCATCACGACATCCTCACGATTTAGCTCCATCATCACGCTACGCTAGATACGTCGTAAATCGTTGCGCCCCTGTACTCAACTACCAACAACGACTCCAAGGTTATGTCCAATGTATTAGCAACACAATACCGAATGTGCGCTGGTTTCTCTCGTGGCTCCGCCCACGAAAAGGCGTTGTTGCTTCAAAAGAACGCACAGTGCTGCCACAGAACCTTGGAGCGCATGATCTACCAACCTCTGCAGGCGAAGAAAGTGTATTGAGAAATCGTAATGACATTCAGAATCTTCCGACGAATTGTCGATCCATGTCTTCATTTGGGAGGCCTGTAAGTTCTGTGCAATGGGAGCTTTTAGAAAGAGTGCGGGGCATGTCGTCGTGCGGCGCAGTCAAAGTGCAAGGCCTGACCTCACGTTTGCAGCGCGTATCATCTCTCGTCCATTTTGAGTCCGTACAGCCGGATAACACAACCTTCACCATGTCATTACAAGACGGCACTGTCGAGAACGGCGCGGAACCGACTTACAAACACGATGAGACGGCGAAGCCCACAATTGAGGAAGAGACGCGAGTTGACATGATCAAGGATTGGATCAAAACGTGCGACGAGCATCATGGCTCTCCATGCGTTGTACCCAAAGCGGACGCGGTCGCATGGCCTACATGGCTCATTGACGTTGTAAACGCATGCGTAATTGAGGGTGAGGTTGCCGAGCGTTATCTCACCCTCAGCTACGTATGGGGCGGAGTGCAGACTTTACAGTTGAATAAAGACAATATCGATCGGTTGAGGCAGCAAGGAAGTCTCGTGAAAGAAGTAGTGACCCTACCCAGGACGATACGAGAAGCTCTGGAAGTTACACGATTTCTCGGACAGCGATACATTTTCGTTGACCAGCTTTGTATCGTTCAGGATGATCAGCAGCATAAAATGACCGAGATTCAAAACATGACAGAGATCTATGGGAACTCTTACCTAACTCTTGTCGCTATCACAGGTAGTACGGCCGACACTGGCCTGGCTGATACTTTCGACAGATGGATACACCAATCTCCGTCGGGCATCAAGTATCTGGATGCTGACCACGATTACTCGTTGACGCACGAAATTACCGAGGGTAGTACATGGAATCAACGAGGATGGTAAGTAATGTCTCGTATACCACATAGCGGGAAAGCGCTTGTTTTAACGGCTTCCGTTAGGACCTTCCAGGAAAAGATATCCTCAAGACGCATTCTATATTTCCTCAAATTCCGAAAGAACGACGTCTTATATCAAGAAAAGGAGGACCCATGTCGCATATCATGGAAATGCCACCAAGCTGCCTGGCATGACCTACGCGGCCGAGTAATAACCGAAGAGGTAAAATGTCTCGATAAACCTGGATATGCATGTCCTGGCCCAGTTACCTGGCCCAGCTTCAAGGAATACCAGTCCATTGTCCGCAGTTATTCACGACGACACTTCACGTATGATTCCGATGTCGTTCCAGCATTTGCAGGCACTGCTTCTTCACTTGCAGATATCTTCCCTGGCGGGACCTTGTACGGCCTACCCATTTTGTTCTTTGATGTTGCACTCCTCTGGATAGTCCCTTCAGGGGCGAAAAGAAAGAGCATAGATGTAACTTCGCATGAGAGTATTCGGCCACCAAGCTGGTCTTGGATGGCCTGGCGTGGACAACTGTGGGGAGGGACTAATCCCTTTTGGAGCAATTTTTCTTTGGGTGGGACAAAGGGTGCGGTTGTCTCTCCACTTGTTCAATGGTATTACATCAGCGCAGGGGGAGCTCAGGTCAGGATCGAGAACGAGCTCTACAAGTACAGACACCTCGCTCAAGACAGCGAGAGCCCGCTTCCTTCGGGATGGAGCCGAACGATATCCACCTCTAGCAAGTCTGATATGCGCGACAAACTTTGTTACGTCACACCATGCGCCCCAGGACAGGAGTTTCATTTTCCAATTCCACTCGTGGATGCGCCAGATGCTGTTA